TTGCGATCAAGAAACACCTTTTTGGACCTGTCAGCCACATATCTTCGCGGCGCAACACAACCACAACCCTGCCTCTTACGCGAAGTAGTGAACGCCTGCTGACGTATTGGAGAGCAAGAGGCCATAGCCGATGACGCTGATGGTCCCAAACATAACGCAGAACACGCCTCGCATCTGCCTGCGGTCGGATATGTAGGCAATCGTCATGTATGAAAACGCCCCAAGCGCGTAACACGGGATCGTGAGCAACTGGACCTCGGCTACCGTCCAAGAGCTTAAACCATTAATGATGGTGGGTAGAAAAGTCGAATAGCCTGCTCTCTCCCCCCCTCTCTGACGCGTTAGCTTCGTGCTTCCTATACACTAAGCACGACTGCGTATAGGTACGTGGTCGCCATGGCACTGACCGTAGAGCATCGTGTCGGCTCCGAACTGCGCCACGCAGAACACCCACACCCGCCAATCCGTAAACGCCTTCATCATATCCTTCTTGCTGAACTGCTGCGCACTCTCCGTAAACCCGTACTGGCGCTGGTGTCGCACAACCATGACCTTCTTCTCCGCGGGTGTCAGGAAATACGCACTCTCAGGATCGTTGGGCAAGAAGAAGAAGACCACAACGCCCAGCACAATGGTAGGGATTCCCTCAAGGATCATTATCCAGCGCCACCCGCTCATGCCCCGCGCACCGTCCAAGTGCCCAATGCCATAGGCGAGGAGACCTCCGAGAGCACCGGCGATGGCGGCACTGACGAAGAGATAGCCGACACGCAGCGCTAGCTCTCGTTTGGTGTAGAAGAACGTAAGGTATACATTGAGGCCCGGGAATAGCCCAGCTTCGAACACGCCCAGGAGCAGCCTCAAGGCCACTAGGCTCCCGAAATTTTTCACAAATCCGGTAGCCAGCGCGATCACCCCCCAGATGATCACGATGAAGGTCAGCCAACGCTGCGGTCCGAAGGGCTTCAGAACGAGATTGGACGGTATCTCGAATATCAGGTCTGTCGTCTTGGAATTAGTCCCGTCCCATGGCTCGGATCAAGGCACCACCAAGGCGGACGACACCATCAATCGACCTTTCATTCGAACGCAGAGTTGGGCTCACTGACCACCCATCCAACTTACAGGTGACGAAGAGAATAGAAACGGCAATCTGGAACTGATTGGGAGTAAGGTCGAGGTCTTCCTCCAGACCGTAGAGCCGAGCGTTGCCGATATTCACCCTGCAAGCTTGTCAGTGCCTGGGCTTACATGCGCGCATAAACCAGCCACGTATTTTATGATTAGACAGACCTATCCAAGAAGCTAAATGTATCTACACATACTACCATCAGTTCTAAAACCTCACGAGACCCTACGGCCGACAAAAGCTAACGAGATGACCTCAAACTCACAAAGTAACATAACAAGGGGAATCAGGTGCCAATCAAGCTTGCGCACAAGCTTCGGCTCGTCAATTATGGGAGTCGTGTTCTCATCGTATGCGACGTGAGCTCCCGCTGTCTCGGCCGCCTTGGGTCCCGAGAGGGACGACTTGGACGGATCAGCAGACATGACTCCTCACCTCACCTCGCGCTCTTGCTTCTCTGTCGTTGATACCTCGACTTGGTTAGCACGATTTGATATACATATCGTTGTTTCTGTCAATGAGTAAGTACTCACCAGCACTGTTCGTAGGCGAACTAACAAGTGAGAACCCCACCGTTCACCACTGTCATGAATACTATAATTAAGCGGATAGTGAACAACCTTGACCCCATATAACAGATGTAAGTACTGAGACAGGGAAGCCTCTGCGTGGTGATGGGGAGGGAAATTTGGTTCGAGGTTACTACGACTACTAATGACTACGGTATAAATACGATGGAATGTATTCTCCAAGTCGATATTGACGATCATTGGTTGTTATCATCTGTTGATATGCTGTGATTGACGACCTAAGATAGGTACGCAGATAAGAGAGATAAGATCGTCCGTCTGCCCAGACTTCGTGGCCGGGGCTTAATTGGTAATGCATTGCATCAGGGATATCAAGAACCCGGTGAACATGGTGTCGCACCTTTGCGCAACATTACCGTACCCATCGGAAACTGTCTGGCATTATACCTAAGATAAATTAGGTACACCTACAAGCAATAAGCAAGTATGTGCCGCCAAATGTCTCAGCTTGTACTTCATAACGGCATATCAACTATGACGATTGTCCCGGCGTCGGCTGCCCATCCCCTTCGATCTCCTCCTCGCGAATGCTCATGTGCGAAAAGCGTGCAGGGGTCCATCCATGCTGACAAGTCCATCCGGATCCTCAATCGTAACCGAGTTAACACAACTCTCCGCATCATCTTGTCTCTCTCGCACCGGAATCTTGACAACCCTTGGTCTGACGTCGGGGTCCTCGCCCTGAGCTAGCCCTCGCTCAACGCTCAGCGCGTTGACGCTCTTGACCTGCCCAAAACTACCGGAAATCCCACTCGGCGTCTCGGGGAGATCGAAGAACGGCAGACCGGCTTCCGCATAGGTGGCGACGGAGATCGGACACGGCGGCGCGCCCCGCCCCGTGGCGTCACGGAACAATGCCGTCGTCAGGATGTGCACGGGGATCGTGATGGTAGGAGACTTCGCCCACTTGGTCGGGTCGAAGGTGTGTTTGTAGATCGCTTGCGTGATTTTGCCACCCGCGGCCACCCCCATTGACTCCTTCAATAGTTGTTCGTGGCTGTCGATGCGGCCGCCGCCGCGGAGTCTCTTTACCAGGCGTATCTTGCTGTTCTAGATCGCCATTAGATCAGCGAGACACCTAGGTTAACTGTTGGGCCGTCTGAGATCGAGCACTCACAGGTTTCACATCGTAGTCAGATAGCGTCCGGCCTAGCATGATATTTAGTATCAGGCCTGATATCGAAGGGATGAAAACTCACCATCCTCTAACTGCTTGCCCGAAAGTAGTAAGCGCATCTCATCCTGTAATAGCTCTGTCAATTCTTCGATCTTATTCTTTACGCGATCAATTGTATCCGTTAGAGAGCACGGGACGCGAATCGTTTCCTGAGTTCTTGCTGCGACGTCTACCTTTACGACGTCGAGCATGAAGTCACCAGGGTTCAGTTTCGCTGGCATAGACGGCGTGATCTCAAACAACAGGCCGCCGACGACTTCTTCTCCCGTCAGCTGCGCCTCGACTACAACAAAATGAGTCAGTAATTCCTCTTTTGAGCAGCTCCAGTGCTCCCGAAACATCTCATGCTACTACAACGGGAAGAAAATGGCTCTTAATGTTACTCACCGCTGTATCCCGCCCCCATCGGCATGGCGACGAACTGTCTGACGACGCCCGGGGCGACCGCGAAGCCGTCGAGCCATCGCTGACCGGGGACAACGACGTAGTCCTGACCATTGGCGCGCGGCGTGCTCGCCGTCCCGGCGCCGTGCTTGCCCGACACAACATTGACACCGCCGGCGTAAATCTTGATCATGAACGGGCGCTCGGCAGCGAAGTCAATCCACATCGCCTCCCGCTGATATATCGGGAAGAACACGCCGCCACGCCTCGTGGCCATGGGCAGCGGTAAATTCGTGGCATAATCGCCGACCTTGAATAGCGAGAAGTCTCCTAGGCCGGGCGGCAAATATGCGGCTTGTTCTGCGTTGTCGGGGACGCGGATCGTGCGCTTGAATCTAATCTCGAGGCTTTGCGGTGCGTAGTCCTCCGCCACGCCCGGCGCGATGTCGACGACGATGGCGTCGTCTGCGAGACGGCAGCGGAACAAGCCGCTAGGGGCCGTTGGCGCTGTGTGCTTCGTCATTTTTCCTCGAGAAATCCTGTGGAGATTCTAAATCTTTTGGATTTTGTTTTCCTCTGGAGTGTTTGATAGATAGAAGAAGAAGAAATAGTTTGTGTATCGTCCAGATCCTGTGAATTGAGGTAGGAAGTAGGTACATGTACTTATTGAAGTACTTACCTACTTAGAAGGCAGGATGCACCTTCTATTCGTTTATTAAGTACTTAGATACATCCTACAGGTAACCTGCCGATGAGCTGCTTCCTTCTCGCTCAGAAGAGGAGTAAAGTAAAGGAAAGTGCGATGCTTCGTCGAAATAAAAGGCAAAGAACTTGGAAGGTGAGGTTGCATAATTGAGAGGCAGGGCGGTAGATAAGGTACCCACCAAGGTATAGTAGGGAAATATCATGAGACGGTCAATAAGACGAGATAAAACGGGGATATTAAAAGTTGATGTGATGATGACAACTTATAAACCCCCCACCAAGCCTCCCTTTTCTCTCTCGCTTCTTTCTTTTCTGCTTGATAAATAGTCTAGTTTGCAGTTCGACTCTTTGCATGTCAACTACTTTGGTAATTTCTCAGATCACCCTATATTTTATGAAGGAGCCAGTGACTGTGACGTCTATGTATTATTGACGTGTTTGGAACAAGAGCTATGCTTTATATTCCTCTCCTACTCTAGTTCATTGCTTGTTTGTAAAGAGCTGAAGCAATTTTGTCGACCTGTGTGTGTGTGAGACTTTCAGCTCAGTTATCTCTCCGCGCTTATGCTATATGATTGAAATAGGATTCTCAGATTCGGGATACTTGAACAACGAGAGAGCTTGTTTAAAGATTAAAGGTTGGACTTCATATACAGTACTTGAAGAAAGCTCCTCATACGGTCTATGAAGTTCTTGCACAAGCACTATACGTAGGCCTACATCCTCCTTCTTAACAACCATTAGGCTTTTATTGTTTTGTTGGGTATTCTGTCTAAAGTGATAGAAGACTAGTCTAAGGAAACCTCCAATATTTAGCTAGATCAGACCGGAGTCGCGTTACTTCAGCTTTCGTCTGTTAAAAGCGTGATAAAGCCATGTTTGTTGAACTTTATAGCTAGGTACCTTAGGTAAGTAAGGTATGGAACCCGGGGGGGAGTGCTGATGTTGGTTACTCTGACTGCTCCATCATAAAAACATTAACTTAAAAAAAAGTAAATCTGGAAAAAAAGCAAGTTGGACAAGGTCGGAATCGAACCGACTTCTCCGGACTTAGTTATTGAGACGCCGGTGTGCACCAGTTACACCACATGCCCTTGGTTTGAAGTGTTGTAACGACCAATAACAATATGTATTAAGCCTAGGCCACCTTTCCCAGGCGTACGTTTGCGTCAGTTAGTCAGTTACATACCCGTTAGAATTAAACGGATTTTAGTACTATGCACTAGAACAATATCATAAGCTACCCGCCTCGCGCGAAGAAAGATGAGTGAGCGGTGTGTTCTGCGTATTGATCGTGATATAATACAAGCTAGACGGGGCCATGTCATAAAATCGCCAAAAAGCGCAGATTGGCATAACTCATTTCTATTCTACACGGCATCTAAACCTAGTTACCGGGCTCCTAAGCTATGTCATATGTGTGTGTGTGTGTGTGCATTTGTCGTTGATGGATGTGACCTTTTAGTTCCCAACGCCTGTCATTTCATACACGGCCCTGCCGTCCCATAGTATCTAATTACATTATCATACTGTATGCTCATCGGCATGTGTAGCCGCCATCAATTACAATGTCGTTGCCGGTTGTATATGAGCTGGCGTCGGAGAGGAGGTAGACGTAAGCGCCTTTGATCTCCTTGGCCTCGCCGTTCCGGTTCATAGGAATCACTAGAGCCATTGGTTGTCAGTCATCGACGTTCCAGGAGTGCGGTATACATAAGTGCAACAAAAAGTAACAAGCTTGTAGAGATTACTTCGGGCAAAAATAGCGTATTTTAAGCTATTGAGGACGCCAGAATGAAAAGAACGCGATTCGGGGAACCACTCACTGCTCTTCCACAGGTTCTGAGTCTTCTCGTCGATAAAGTCAGACAGGCCGGTGTCAATATAGCCTGGGGAGATGCTGTTGACGCGAGCAAAGTCGCGCCACTCGTTGGCGAGCGACCGTGCCATGTGGATGCAGCCGGCCTTGGCGACGTTGTATGAGGTCTGCTCCTGGGGGAAGTTGGCGACGTGGCCGGACATCGAGGCCGTGATGACGAGCGAGCCGTGGCCCTGCTTTTTGAACACGGGGCCAATGGCCTTGGCACAGTACGCCGTGCCGTTGAGGTCGACGTTGATGACCTTGTTCCACTGTTCGACGGTGCCATCGAGCACGCCTTCGTTGGCTGTCGCGCCGGCGTTAGCGACAAAGCCATCGATGCGGCCACCGAAGTCGTTCAGCACATCCTTGACCAGCTGCTCGCATGACGCGAAGTCCGCGACGTTGCACTTGTATGCCTTGGCCTTGACGCCGTAGTCTCTGGTCAATTCCTCGACGTTCTTCTCGGCGCCCTCCTTACGCGAAGAATAGGTGATGGCGACGTCGGCACCCAGTTCGGCGACACCACGTGCGGCCTCGATGCCCATGCCCCGAGAGCCAGACGCCCCCGTCACGACAATGACCTTGCCCTTGAAGCTGAGCAGGTCGAGAAGCTTGCTCGCAGTAGGAATTGGCTGAGGCATCTTAAATAATTAGACGTTGGTCTTGGAGTTTGCTGAAAAGTTTATTCGGAGGGACGAAAATGTAGTTCCAAGCTGCTGTAGGAAAGACAATGGGGGGGAGAGAGAGGAATGCACAATGAGTATGTATGGGAGACTAAGCAGAGCGCCGGAAACATCTGGGCTTTTCGTCCACTTTATAACTGACAATTAGATCGCAGTCGAACGAGCTAGGTTAGCAGCCACATACCACGGCCACGGCCGCCCGGCCGTTGTCTTCCCAGCTTGCTCAGTCCATTCCGTCAGACACCGCTGCGCGTCTTCGGGCTTACCAGGAGTAGTGTATGTATAAGTGGATAAGCATGTGGGATGACGATGCGTGGGACATGGCTGATATGAACACTTCGGGTAAGGTGAGGTATCTAAACTAGTTAGCAAGCGGTTAAGCGGTCTCCCCACGTCTTCGTGATGTCATGCTTGTGTGAATCTTACAGAGCTCCCAATTTACCAGCTGTTAGACCATCACGGTACACTTTGGCTTATCAAGTTACAGCGAATTCCCTCTGTTGTGTTGAGGGTAAATTGATCTTATGTCCCACCATGAAGTCCATCGTGATGGCTTGTTTCTCGATTGTCAACCTCGTCAATATGATCAGTTCCTGTTTCTGGTGTGGCAAGGGTGTTAGTTGAGGCGTCTCCAGTTTTTAACATCCCTGTCGCGTGTCTGTAACCCCTCACTCTTGGTGCGGATTCGGGCGTAGGCAACCTCCTTCACATACTTCGTAGTGCAAGTATGTTGCTGCGATTAGTGTAACCAAGTTGTGATATGCGTGGGCTTATTAAGTACATGCAGTAGCCCAGGTTAAAACTGCTTCTAATAGATATTCTCGCTGTTAGTGACGTCTCATTTCTAGAGACCTGGCATCGATTTGGAGGGGAGGAGATGCGTTGTCGGTTATACAATTCCTGCATGATGCATCAATGGGTACCTGTCTGGGCGACTCGACTTCTACTCTGTCTTTTGCTGTTCATATTCGTCTATTTACATACTGTGCCCCTGTAGCAGTCTCGTTGCAGTTGTCTCGTGTTATGTTGACTTTGAATACGACGCTAGGTTATCTCTAATATCTATATCGCCCCTCATCGGGTTACGCCGTGTAGTATCCCTCGGTATCATCGCGTTGTCGCTGCCTCGCGCGTCGGCGAGTTCAATTATAAGCCGAGCAAATACGAAGCCGGATAGCATGTTGTATAAATTCCACAGCTCGTAGGAGGTCGCCTAGAATGAAGTTTTAGAGAAGCACAAACATCAAGTGACATTCATCCGAAATCATTGTACTTTTTCTCAACAGCGGGGAAACGCGGGTGGCGTACCTAGAGTCTTAGACTATCTACGAAGTAGTCTAAGCGTTGTTCTAGTGGGCGCAGATCCTTTTGACGCTTGGCCCGACGGCCAAGCCCAGAGAATCCACCAACATTCTTACCTCTACAGCTCTGACATGCCATTTCCACGCGCCTATGAGGGCAGGCGCGCTTCAGTCGATGACCCTCTCCTTAAAAGTGGACATTTCTGCTGATGTGGGCTTCACCGTGTTTGAATCATGTTTGGCTTTGAGAGCAACAGATGGCACCCGTCTGGGCTTCCGCGAATCGACACGACCGAAGGCAGCGGCATCATCTTGGTCGCTCTAATGCCAACATGAGCACAACATCAGCCGTAGTAACTGCTGGCTTATTATGCCCGCAAAAATTATTTCTATATCGTACCACGTCGCTTTCTACGGCTTCAGTTTGTTCTCGGCTCCCTATGTCAAGAATCGCCAACACGATGGAGCAGCCGCGGCGGATACGATACAGGGGTCGATGGGTAGCGGTTCGGTACCGTCCAAGCTGAATGTTTGTATGGCCATAATGGTTATGACTCAGCCTCTGCTTTATCAACCAACATTAGAGCTCCGCGAGCATAGGCAGTCATAGAGACCACGTGACAACTCATCGTGAGCAACACGAAAACTCCTGCGAGGAGCCTTACAAGTGACCAGCTTGATACAAGAGAGTAGACAGTAGTCTATTTTGATGAGGTTGAAGCTGCTATGCTAAGGGGATTTAACATGGTTACCGAATCCACGATAATCATTCCGTCATTCGGTGTTGAGCCCTACCCACGCCGGTAGCGCCTCAGGCAGAGCGCCATGGGTCAATATCAACTTGCATGCGCCGATCCTCATCGGCTCCCCTGGCGATCTCGGATGTGCCGTTTATCATAGCAATAGCGGATCCTTGACGTGCACCATTCCTCTTCACACGGGGCGACCCTGCTCTTAACGGGTCATCCCGCGCATAGTGTTAAGGACATCGACCCCTGAAAGAAAACAAGACATATTTAACTACTTCTGGACTAACTCACGAAAGCCGGCTTGGGCTTCCAGATAAACCAATCGGCCGAGGATATTCAGGGTGCTAAATAGACTCCTCCAATAGCCGTATATCGACCCTGTCCTCCGCGTCCTACTCCTGGCCGCTCACTTCCGTGTTATTATCCATGATTTGGTTACTCTCAAGCCCGAACTTAGGTTACCGAAGCCGTCCATGCCTATAAGGTGTCTACCTCGCCTTGACATCTATACAAGACCTCCCCCCCCCCCCCAATCGGTTGAGCTTAGAGTAGATACATGGTACTTAAGTCCGTGTCGTATGCTTCCTCGCTTTTATGAAGGACTACGTTCATTCATCGCGTTTCACCCTAGACTTTTGGAGGGGTGAACTCATCCAAAGAGGTCCAGAAAGGGTCCTGAAGTCTCGACGCTCTACTTATGCGAGAAAGAGCCTAAATTCGGACATATCTCGCCTTCGATGATGGTACGCCACATTTGGCGCCAGGCAACCTACCCGTGACCATGTATGCAAGTACATGGACTCTTGGCAAGATGTCCGTCTCACTTCTTCCGTAACGTTTTCCTCGCCCAATACAGCCGCCACCGCAAGGTCAATTTTAATTCAGGGTTAAGGCGTGACGCCGACTTGACAGACGCCGCAAGTCATGGCGTGTTATCGTCAGGGGCCTCGACGATATTATGAGACTTAGGGTCTTGTTGTATCCGAAGTCATCTATGTTACCCGAACCCATGTCTTCATTTCTAATTGCTTCGGGATGATGCATATAAGTTTTGTCATCAGGGACGGCCCAGCGCATCTTTTAGATAGCAGCCGAGAGCTTAGTTCTAGGGGGATTAACGACTATAGCGACGTCTAATTTCATATCTAATGAAAAGATCTCAATCGTGACTTCGAACGTTGACACGAATGAATTTACGCTTGCTATAAAACGCCTGGTAGTCCTTGTTAAAATCAAGAGGTCGAGGGCCAAACTCAGCCTCGAGCTTGTGGATCTAGCATGGCATCTATTCCCTGATGCATAACCGCCAATCATCGAATTTACACTTACAAAGTTCTCAGGTGTACTAACCGTCCTGGGATTCACCACTTGCCCTCGTAGTTTAGAAGCTATTTGCTTCTCTTCCCAGCAGTTGCGGTGCTCATAACTGTACTCGGCAGATTGGGTGGCTCGGGTGTGATATGTGGTCTGTCTACGAGTTGTGAATTATGGCGGACTTGA